GTAATGCATCTAGTTGAGGCTCACCAATGCAACTGTTGATTTCTACAGTATACTTTTAATAGTGCTATGGTTATTCTGGTCTTCAGCGTCATAACCTGTGTGGTTTCTATCATTTGCCCTTAGATAGCTGGATGAGAGAGATCATTGCTAGAGCATGGTTATACAGGAAGGCGTGGGAGGGAAATTTGTCTCCATTGCAGAGTTTTGAAACTGGGGTTTGAACAGATTTGTTAATGAAAATGCAGAAGACCCCACAGAGCCCTTAAGAGAGCCACTGCAGCTGCAGTGGGTACCTCCAGCGAGGCTGTTAGTGAGGGCACAAAAGCTATTGCTAGGGATGCCTTGCACCTCCCTCTCCTCCATGAAGTGCCTGCAAGTGTCTGCCATGCAGTGGAAATGGTAACTTCTTCTGAAACGTGACAGAAATGGATGTGTTTTGGTCATGCGACAGATGCATGTCAGTCTTGTCACATCATAATATGCATGCTATCCCATGAGGTGTGCAGATAGACGCACTTTAAAAAGGAGATGATGCAGTTTTGGTGTAAAGCTGAAATATTTCCCCTCATCTGATAAAGAGTGAAGCTGTTGGGTCCCTTGGGAAGAGGGAGTGGGGCTTGCCAGAATAATGAGTGTGCCCTGTACCTTCTCCCCCATCTTGGAGCAAAGAGCATAATGGAGAGCAGGCTGTAGGTTGGGTGTGGGTCATTAGAAGCTCCCACCTAATGAATACATTGTGAAAGGAAAAGGAGTGAAGGGAAATTAATGGTAACCAAGTCCCCCTGGATCTCCTTGTGCTTTGGGAATGGCAATCCAAAAGGATGCACTACAGAGATGTAAAGTTATATGATGAGAGCTGTCACGGAATTACACAAAATTGTGTCACTTAGAGGATGGAAGCAGGTACCCCTTCTCAGCTTGTATGTTGTATAAGTGGTGCCGAGCACCTAACAGAGGGACGTCTGATTTTGTTGATACCCCTCTACCTATTGCTATTCTTCTGAAAGAGTGACTGTTGTTCCTAATTAATATCAGCGTAAGCGTTGATGCAGTAGCCTTTCTGCTTGAGATAAAGCAGTCAATTTTTGTCCTAATGTGTAGGATTTGCTAACATCAGCCAAAAAATATTTGTGGAAGAGCTAAGAGACTATTTCTTTTCCTTTGAAGCAATAGAAGGAGTGTATTTGAAAAGGAATTGAATCGATACTCAACATGCATCCCATGTGATAGAAGCCAATGGTTTATTAAAGGGGAGAGAGAAAACAAAGCAGCTGGGGGTTTTTTTGAGGTGAGTGCATGACAAAAGCTGGGTGCATTTTGACAAGTAGTTAGATTTTTACAATGTATTTGCTGCTTATGATATATGCTTTTGTTAGAGCAAAACCTTAAAAAATGTGTGCATATCAACTTCGCAGGAACCCTGCAGTTGCTCTTCAGTACTTTGTCCTATTTTATAAGTCTGCTGATTTATCAAAATAGCTGCATCTTCTTGCAACATTGAATTGAGCTTATTTCTAAAGGATCAAAATAGAGCTTAGTATGCTTGTGAAATATGCTTTGCAATGTGCCGCAGAGAGATGCCAAAGACTGCTATTTAAAAACATGCAGGAGCTGTATAGAAATATAGAACATGTAAGTGCCCAGTGCATCTGGAATTCATAGGGAAATATACATTGCACTGAGAAGCACAGATACGCTGCTGAAGCCTGCACATGTGTGAGAATAACTGTATGGCTCGATGTAGTTAGATTTTGTTGTGATGCTAGCGGCCTTACAGTTACTTCACACATTCTGATCTAAATAGTGGATGTTATTTGGGCCATTGGGGATAATGCCAGTGTTTGTCTGCACGGGAAATGCCAAACATGTCATAAACTCGTGGGCTGGTTACTGTGTTAAAATCCATTCTGTTACTATAACGTATATGGCTATGTGAGTGTCTCCCAAGGAATAACGTGATCTCTGATCTTCTCTTCCAAAAGCAGCACAGCATAATGCACTCTCAGATCCTCAGATGCGCCAGTGTGAGGCTTGTCTTTCCAGACCTCACAGAGCTTATCAACTTAAAAGATTGCGTTTAGGAAACATATTTCACAGTTACAGAGAGTGATGTATGCAACGAATGCTGCTCATGTTTTTGTCATTTGAAACACGTAGCGTGTGATGAAAGATGTTGCACCAAAAACTCTGTAGATGGAATCACAATGCCTTTCTGCAGCAGTAGTTCAGATACCCCTTTGCTGTCCTGCCTGTGTGCTTCAGAAACACTGCCTGACATGAGAAAAAGGAAGCTCGGCCTTGTGGTCTCCTTGGTTTGTGGTCTGCCTGCTGACACTTTAATGAAGCAGCCTGTAATGCTGGTTCTCATGCTAGCTCTCTTTAGTGTAGTGTGGATGATTTATTGTCCATAAGTTTGTCAAATTATTAATTAGTTGCTTTACTTTCGTCACATTTATATTTCAAGGTGTGCTCTGTGCTTCTGGTTAAGTATGTGCTCAGATAGTTCAGGGAGGAGCAAGAACCCTCTTCACTTATAGGTGCTCACCTCTTTCCAGATTTGAACCCTCACTGTTTGGCCCAGACTGCTAAATTAATTCTTTTGGTTGATCAGTGGTAACTTTGGCCATGAATGATCTGCAATGGATCCAAAGTGACTACACCAGAAATGTGTTTTACCAAGTCTTTGCCTGTTGGAAGATTGTAATGAATATGATTCTTTCTTAATATTCTAGTTGCATCATCTTTGTGCATCAATGAAAAGTCCAAATATGGCTTTGTTCAAGCAACAGAAGGTGGAGGATGTTTACGAAATTGGGGAAGAGCTAGGAAGGTAAGTTTGTACTGATTATACCACACTATTCTAAAAGCTGACACATGTGGGTGTCTGCCACATCTTGAAACTGTGACTGCTTGAGAGCCTAAATCAACTCCAATATACAACAATAGAAACACGTCCCTTTGCAAAAACTGCAGTTGTATATATTTTTTTTTAAGTTAAGCGTGCTAACTATTTTTCCTGTTTCTTTTCTTGCAACTAGGACCACAAAAGGTATGTTTACATTGTCTTTTATAGATAGGTGTCATCTGTGTCTGTGCTTTAGACAGAGTTCACCTGTCTGTTCTCTGAACCAGCTAGGAAACAGGAACCCATGGTGCTGTTGTCATAGACGCAGCGCTTTAATTTGGCTTGTTGTTTTGAACAGCACTGTTGTTTTCAGCTGTCTCCGAGCACTGACAGAACATGCTGATATCTGCCTGCAGAACGCCATGTGTGTATTCCTGAAAAGATCTACCTGTCAGAATTTCAGCTGGACTGCGTTAATACCTGTATATAGCTTTTAATCTATAAAGGCTTGTCTGCAGGTATTAATTATAGGTAGAGTTAATGGGCTATTACTATGCTTAACAATAAGCACCTGCTTAAACACTCTGCTGGGTTTGTGAGCTGGATGACACAGGGCTCCCCCAGTCACTTAGCAACATACAGTGCTCTGGGTGAGGATAGCTGGTTTCCATTCAGTGTCCAACCCTCCAGTGAGTTCTTTTTAATATGCAAATAGCTAAATTAGGGCTATACACATGTTGGCTTCTTTCCCAACTTCTGGCAGTTGGTTTTGATAAATTACTGTGTATGTGCAATTACCCTTTTTCAAGGGCCAATAATTTAGTTACAGTAAAACACTTCAGTTGAAGCTGTTTCCCTGCCAAATCTTATTTTTTTGACCCCCAGCTATTTCATCTTTAGAATTGTTGAGAAGATTTCTTTTAAGGGGAGATGGGGTTTTTTGGGTTTGGGTTTTTTGGTTTGGCTTTTTAAAAAATTTTTTTATTCCCTTAACTATTAAATTTTCTGTAACTGCTTACTTTTGAGTACTGACTGGTCCTGAGAACATCGTCCCAAAAGTGAAAATCTGACAACAGTGAGCAGCAAAGAAATTTAGCGTCTATATGCAGGGTGTATAGGTGTGCTTTTTTTTAACCTAGGAGGCCTTAGTATGTGCTGTAACAGTCAAACGCTAAAATGAGAAACTGGAAACTGAGTAGCATATTTTTACTTTGGTTCCTGAATTGGATTTGGAAATGCAGTGTCTTTTGAGATGATGAACCTCACTCTCCTCCTCAAGCTGATAGTTATTAGGCCTTCTGAATGGAGAAGTGTAGTTAAAGGCCAGCCCTTGCTGTTTGAATCTGCCTGAGAGGCCTCAGGCTGGTAAAGGCTTGCGTGGTCACAGCAGCCCTCCTCCTTTCCTGGCTGCATGTCATAGAAACACTGCTGGTCCCAGGGTTATGCTGTGGAGCTGGTATTGATTACAGGTCGAGTGATGGGCTGGGTTTAGAGGAGACTACATTCAGACATGGAATCTGAAATTGTGGTCTTTTTTAATGGGTGTATTAAACTCCAAACTACAAAACCATACTCTGTTTCCCAGTGTTTTACGTGTAATAATTCTTGTAGATGAGAAATCCAAGTGTACATGGTTCTGAGGTCTGTAGGCAAAAATGTTCCCTGAAAGACCGGAAGGAATAGGCAAATTGTAACAAGCAGACCTCTGTTGCTTGTTATGATTTTTCAAGGAAAGCCCTGTAATTGTAAATTGTAAGAATACATCATCAAGATTGGAATTAGCTCCCTATACTCTGAATGCATTCAAGTCGTGTGCTTTACACATGCCCATGAATATAATGTCACGCTGTCTTTGTCAGTGTATTTTCACTTTCAGATTTTGTGAGGAGCTCTGCAGACCTCTTGTTTCAACTGTGTTACACATGTGGAGTGTCACTGGGTTATCATACCTCTGTATCTCTGAGCAGTAACTACTAATTAGGGCCAGTGACAAATGATATCTTGATTTGTTAGAAGAAAAACAACACACTAGACAGGTTGTGGTGACTCAAATGCAAGCATCTTCAGGTTGTGGTGACTGAAATGCAAGCATCTTTTCTAGTGCTGACTGATGCCCTTTATTAGTTCAGTAAGCTTGCAACAAGCTGTTAGTTGCTGTCAGGTCCAGGCAGGTAAAAGGATTCATTTATTATCATTCTGGCAACAGAAGTCACTTAGAAAATGAAGGTTTTTAAACAATGTCTGTGAAGTCTGTCTTGTTCATGTCCTCCTAACTGAGTTTGTGATTTCTTGAGAACAGAAGTGTCATTAATACAGGCCTAATGATTGTTCTAAGTTGGATTCAGTCAGAAGTTAAAATACAGGATCTCGCCGACAGAGCCAGCGCCTGTCTATCTGAAAGTCTTTGTGCAGCATTTAGGAAAGGAAGCTGCTATTATATACTGCAAATGCTCCTTTGCAAGGCTTAGATATATATAGTTTGGTGATGAAATTAGACCCTTCCTGTCACTGTGCAGCAAAGGCTCTTCAGATCCAGCTGTACAAAACCCTGCAAACAGTACATTTGTGGACTTCTCAGCCAGATCATTCTCAGAATCACTGCTAAACTAGAAGAAACTCAAAGGATGCTGGAAATGCAGTTGTCTCCTGTGCCAAGGCAATGGTGTGAGAGAAAACTTTGCAGAAAGGGGGAGCAAGTTTTCCATAGCTGCAGCTGTGTGCTGTAAATAGCTGCCTAGCTCCAACATTCACTTGATCTTTCAAATATTAATCTTAGGTTTACACCTCTGTTGCTCAACTACTCCAAAGGGGACATACAGGGATGTATACAAGATGCATAGTCTGATGAACTGATCTTCATAGGAAACCAAACTAAGTCTTCCAGTACGTATAAGAAACAGGAAAATCATTTTGTTCTCTTGCTAGTTTGAAATCCTCTCCATTGGGAAATACAGACATTTTGTTGCTGGTACAGTGTGGTGACCTCTGAGGAAGGCGGCTGGGCATGTCTTTAAAATTGTAAGAGCTTTTCTTCTGATAAGAAAAACTTAGCTTGCTGAAGTTGTGGAAACTGGAGTACTGATATGGCTGTTTTCTGTGGGATCCTGTGCCTAAAGTGTTCCTAGAAGCCCAAGTTAATGCAAAACATGAGCTCAATATAAATGGATTGGGCTTAGACCAGGGAAATTAATTTTACAGCAAGGCTGTGACATTTTTCTGCACATTAGGATGGTCTGTATTTCACTTTTCTGCTATGTGTCCTTAAACATCACTGCTGAGTTGTTTCCTCATGTTTCTTGGTTTTTTTTTTATAGAGGTTTCATGATTAAAGTCAAGCTAGGTCTTTCAACAATGGCCTATCGTGCCTTCTGTAATCCCCCCTCTCCAGCTACAAGTTCTTGTCTCCTCCCTGCCTTGCGTGTGGAGGATCAGCTCCACTCACTGAGGCAGGCAAAACCTTTTTTTTCTGGGTGAAGCTTAAAAGGACAGCAAATGCAACATTTTACCAGGGGTAATGGGACCTTGGGGCCTGGCACATAATCACTGCTCTGACAGTCTAACTAGTAAATATTTATTTACGTAATGAAAACAAAAAGCAGAGATAACTGAAGTATTCTTTTTAGGGGAGGAACTTGGAAATCTGTGATAAAGTCATGTCGTCCAGCTAGGTGGACTCCCTGGTAAACAGAGGGGTGTGATTGCAGCTGGGAGATTTACCCTTAACACACATTGCACAGTATCTTCATGCCAGGAATTTTTTTTCTATCTACAGAAATTGTTCACTGTTGGGTTTTCTCAGACATGAACCTTAACTCTGTTCTTATATTAATTTATAATTTGAATTAGTTCTTTAAATTAGGAAGAATAACCTTGGATTATTTTTTCTATAACACACACAAAGCAAGTGTTTGCTTTTCATGCAAAATGTAAGTTTAATTATCGAGCACTAACCAGCACCTCTATTACTATTTCTTGTTACAGAAATCTTCTATGCCCTGTGTTTGATGTATATGGAATCTTTTTGAAACAGTTTTGTCATCTAGTACTCAGTCACCATCACTATGATTGTAGTTGTAGTTGGCTGCCTGATAAAGTCACTATTTTTTGATATTTTTTTTTATTCCTTCTAGCAGAGTGAGTGATCTTAGCTTTTTCCTTTTTAAACAGATTTCCCTGCTAGTTTTCAGTGTTTTTTCAACTGTTTCCGAAATCTTTGATTTGTTACAGAAAGTGCAGAGAAAATAGTGGGAGTTTTTGCTGTTTGTTTTTTTTTTTTTTCTAATAACAAAGCTGCTTTGCCTACACTGAGAACTGGCCATGGTTATTTAGAACTGGCCTTGGCCTTAGCCTTCGTTAGTAACAAAGTCATGCATTTTTTTCAAGTGAATTCCTTATTACCAGCATCTGTCTCGATGATGGAAGTGATCTCAGTGTATCTTCTCAGTCCATATCTGGCTTTGAAAGTATAATTAGAGCTGAGCGACCCCAGCGGGTAGTGCTCAGAAAGCTCAGATTCAGTAATGTCTTTAACCACTGAATGTTAAGCCTAATCCCAGTCTTTGCTTTGCCATTTCTGTAAAAATAAAACTATTTTTTCCAGTTGCAGTAGAAAGCAGATGGAAATTTGAACAGTTGAGAAAATAGACTCTGTATGGTATTCAGTCCATGCTTTTGAAATAAAAAATCACTACTTATGAGTGTGTTAAATATACACATGAAATAAACATAGTGCAGCTCACCACTGGACTAACAATGATAAAGCATCGGACAAATTATTAGCATCTTATGCAGAATGGGGCTTGCAGATACTTGTCTGATGGTCAAGCTTAATTTAGCTCAGTCGACATCTATTAATAATTGTTAAAACCCTACATCAGTGGTTTTGAATGGGAGTGAAAACCTGTTGTAATAGCTGAGCATGATGCACAGTGATGCTTTGGTGAGGAGAGGCATATAATTCACTCAAATAGCTAGGCTTGTTCTAT